GAATATTCATGCAGCATGAGCTACGTAATTATTAAGCCATGAGAAATATACTTAAAGCTTAAATTGTGATGCTTGTTTTCAAGATTTAACAAGAAAATCTTTCCTTGCTATTCACAATCCTAATTATTCAAACCCAAAATGATGTAAGGTTCCAGCCCACCTCAGAAATCATGAGACTTCTGAGTTGTTTGGACATGAAAAGTGCTATGAGAATTTACTTTTTAAAATAAACAACCTGAAGCTGATTCATTCGACTATGAGCTTGCAAAATGCCTTTCAGGGTAATTCCTGTAGTAGCATGTTGCTTTGTCGCTAGCCGATTCCCCTGGCTCCCCTCCGGTGTCACATTACGGCTCATTACCAGCCTGTTATTTTTCTCTCTTCATTATCCTGAGAAAGGCAGGGTGGCAGAGCAGGACCTGCTCTGTGCAGGGCAGCCCCTGGAAGGCGCTCCCGTGCCTGGGATACGGGCCATGCTCCCCCGCGGGTGGAAGCGGTGGGTGGATGAGCAGCTACAGAGTCTGACTCCAAAGTGTGCTCAGCTGACACACGACTTCACCAGTACCACTCACTTTCCTCTGGACTGACACGTACTCAGACCAGTTGATTAGCCTGAAAGCAGGGAGAGGGGAGAGTGCACCTGTGTCTCTCTCTAGGGCAAGAAACATGTCATTAGCCTGTACTATTGAATGTGCTGCTCTTGCAATCTGCCACGGATCGTGGAGGCATTGAATCTCGCAGGGTGACGAAGGTGAAAATGGGAAAGAATAAAGTATTTATACACTTGATGAAGGTAGGGCATAAGTTACGAGCAGTCACCTGGTTATCAGGGAACACAGCTGCGATGTCCTACACACAGCCTGCTCATTTGCTCAGTCAGAAAGGGCTCCCATTGCCAAACCAGCACTGCACCCACAGCCAGGTTAGGATCCAAGTGAGGATTGTACTGTACAAGGTCAGCCTGGTGCAGAGCGACTGCTCAGCAGAAAATAAGCTCAGCTTGCTGATAGTGTCCTGGAGTCAATGGTTCCGCGGTCATGGTTCAGATTTCCCAGAGAGGTACATCTGCACTTGTGGAGCATTGCACAGCCCACTGCTGCCAGAGCCTGCTGCTCATTCGAAAGGGCATCGCAGATCTAAATACAGACTCTCCACCACAACTGAAAGGACTGTCTCAAATGTATACTTGAGGAGCTTATTACCCACTCTTTCTTTTTTTTTTTCGTTAATTTGAATTGTAACATCAGTAGTGAGTTTCAATCAGACAATTTCTTCTCTTTTTGGAATGGGTTCCAAGAAGCAATGAAATTAAACGAAATTAAATGAAATTAAAACAGCCCAAAACATCACAGTGATTGCAAACAGTGCCCCAAACAGCTGCAACCTCTTAATAAGATTTTTCACAGCTTAGTTAGAGAAGTATGGTGGAGGCACTTTTCTTTCATGCAGAACCTGGCTGCTGAAGTTTGTTTCTTTCCCCTCTCTCCTTCAATGCTGGGGTGCAGTAGGGTTCCCAGGGGCTCGGGACATGCAGGAATTTCCCTCCAGATGAGATCAGCAGGGCCTGATGATGCTGAGGGGGTTACACACATCATCATGGTCACCACACTGTAATGGGGTTTTAGAAGTAACTGGACAAGTTCACAGAAGATATCTGTTGAGGGCTGTTCAAAACAAAGACTACCTTCAGTGCAAGTGTTTCTTACCCAAAAGCTACCTCAGACTAGGGGTGCTCTGGGAAACCATGTGCTGCTGCTTGCCCTGCTCCACCACTGCCCCCTTCCTGATAATTTTTGCCCACTGTTTGACTTAGTGCTGATATGCCTGCCTTCACCCCCTCTTTGTTTTTTTTTTCTGGGGGGGGGGGGGGGTGAGGGCTGCCAATTGCTTTGCATTTGCATCCCCTTCCTTGGGCATCTGGTTCAGGCCATTCCTGGATTCCAGCTACTGGGACAGACACAAGTTTGCTTTGACATGACTTTCACATGCTTATTTCCAGACCATCTCCAGTGAATGTTGCTTCTCATCTCCTTCCCACCTCGTTGTGTACCTCTGTTGGGTTTTAGGCTGGGAGCTCTTTGGGGCTGGGGTGATGGGCTGTGGTCTAGGGCAGGAAATAACTGAGGACACTGACATTAATGCATGGACCTTCTGTGAGTGCCTGTCTAAGATGTCTCCACTGGCTGTACAAGCAACACAGTTTTTATAGCTTTTACAAAAAATTGCTACCTGTACCACCATACCCCCAGGGTGCCCTGAGGATGGTGTTTATTATGTCCCTAAAGCTCCTAGAATATTTTAGTCACCCCTGAATTGCAAGGAGCCTTAAGAGGTTCTAAAAACCTCTCATTTAACTAGCAGACATGTCTGAGACAGGGCTTTTGTTTTCATGTGGATAAAAATTCCACTTGATGATGTCTTGGCACCTCCTCAAGAGAACTCTGACCCCATGCATGGGGGTTAACGTGGCCCATTGCCAAATGCATCACAGTTTTAATTAAATAGGAAAAAGACCTCCCCCACAGGTCCCTCCCTGTGCCTGGAAAAGTCACTGAGAAGCTGTTGGATCCAAGAAAATATCTGCAGAAGCTGCGAGGAGGAGCTTCCTGCCACGTGGGAACAGCAAGTGGGAGAGGGAGGGGGAAAAGGAGGTGGGGTAGATCTTCAAAAACCAGCAAGTGCTCCATCCACAAACACTTGTCCTCACCTATTAACAAACTTGCTATCTGGCTCCTCTGCAGAAGTCACTGTCTCTCTTGCTCACTTGGAAAACTAAGAATAGCTAAGTGCTTTTGGAGTGCCCCACAGCCCTGCTGCTCTCCAGAGGAGGCAGAGGAAATGTGACAAGCACAGCAGCTTACCTGTGGTAGGTGTTGGCCACCCAGTTCAGTAAGGTGTAGAGCTCATTGAAATCCAGTAGTCCCTGGCAGAGGTGTTGCAAATGTGAGGCAACGGCCTTATGAAAAGCCTCCACATATGTGTCACACACCTGGTACTCCTCAGGATAGCACTTTTTTACTGATAACTTGATTTTCAGTAAATCTTCCCTCAGGAGTTTCTGGAGGGAACTTAAGTGGAGATCAAGCCAAGAACTATCTTCTTCTTTTGATGCCATGGGTGCCTTCAGGACTCTTTTTTTAGCACTCTCGTTGATTGCTTCCCTCCAAATCTCCCTCCACTTTCTGGGCCTTCCAAGCAAGTCTGACCCTGGATTTACAGCTTTGTCTGTGTTGGGATGAGCTGCTTCTTCACGGGCAATTAAAGTCACCATGGAGGTCAGCATGATATTCTCTACAGTGGAAGCTTCCAGTGTTCCCTCCACTATGGACTGGATAGCATTTGTGATGGAGTTATAAAGCAAATCCACATCCTTGGATTTCCGTACAAGCTCCTGAGGGTTATCGTTGTATTTCTCAGCATCCCGTTCAGAGATAGTCTCATCTTCCAATAACTTGATACTTGCAAATGCTTCCAAGAGTTGTCTTTTCTGAATAAGTTCATTGATTTCCATTACTGCAGAAAGGGAGGGGAAGGGGTTGGGAAAAAGCAGGTGTTAGGCTGTTGACAGGTAGGAAACAGGACAAAATGCCCAACAGGGAAGCTTGCAGGGGGCTGCTCTGAGTAGTCAGGTCCCAGCAGTGCCCCTGAGACTGACCCCCTCGACCTCTCCAGCTCATGTTTGACACAGGAGAGGAAAACGATGGGAATGCAATCACTGCAAATTGAGCCACATCTCTAAAATGTCAGTTATGGAGGTAGGAAATATCCAAAAAGCCGATGATAGCCCTGCAGGAAAACCTCAAGCATTGACTAATGAGACTGCAGAGCAGGATAGCTGGGGCTCAGGCAGCATAAACCACCTCTGTCTCTGCCTCTCTGCTTGTGTGGAGATGAAATCCAGCAGGATTTCCTTTAGCATGGATGTCCTTGTTTCCTGCATACCAGTGTGCTCAGCACTGCTCCTGACACATTTTTTGGAGCATTCCTTGTTTCGATGTAACCTTGGACAAATCCCAGGCTTCTCTCCTGCTTTGATTTTGTGCATTATCAAGGTTTCCTAAAATACATCCTTAACTCATGTCACAGCTAAACTAGCTCCTGCATTTTTGAGGCTGAACAAAATGTGGAGATAGTTTCTGGTGATTCCATAATGAGATCTCTCTTCTTGAGATGTAGGGACTTGGATAGCAAGACAGAGACTGGCCCATGTAGGACTGGCCACCCTTTGCAGCCTGTGCCAATCACAGCAACTGGCTTCTTGACACAGGTAAGATGCCTCTTACCTGTTCCAGACATTTAGATGTTCCATGAATGCTTGTGGTCCTCAGCCTTCTCTCTATCAAAAAGAGGGACTTCTGGAGGACCAGAAGACACCACTTCTTAGCTCTGCAGTTACTGCAACCTGCAATAACCTTTTGGCTGGGAAGTGAAGAGATTCCTTGAGATGTTGGTCCTGGGATCCCAAAATAAAGACTGAAACACCAGCTATGCCAGGTATGTGAAATTCACCCTGCTGGGGTGGTTCAGGGTTGGATGACTTGGCTGTTTCCCTCCTGTATATAAATCTACGGTCAGATGCCAAGCGTTGCCTTGCACCAGTGATGTTTGTTTCTCAAGCGGCCAGCACTGCCATTCCTGAGTGGTCTGGGGAGGTGTGTGCATTGGAGGGACATCCAAACCTGTAGGTTTGGGGTGCTCCTGGTACTCAAGTCTCACGTGGGTTTTCCCCACTTCCTTTGCTTTTGGCCCCCACTACCAGTACTGACCGGTGTTGGCTGGGGGGAAAGTCACCAAATACTGCTACCCCCAGAGTGGCTGAGGTGTACTGAGTTTCACATTTACTTTGCAAAGCCTTGCTCATGCAAGAACCACTGCCTATTTTCCAATAAGACAAGAAGTATTTGCCACATGTTGAGGAGATCCAGGAGCACTGTTAGCTTTTGAGAGACCTTGGGAAGCTCTCACCATCTCCAGCACTATAACAGATGCTCTGAACAGGAGCTCCCACTGTGATACTGAGCAAATATCAAAGAGAAGGGAAAGGGTCTTATTTAGGCATGTGTGAGCACTACTCCTGGGACATACACATATTAAATGATAAGGAAAAATTGGAGACGACTCAAGAAAGATATGAAAGACTGGTTAGTAGCCCGTAATTTATGCCCTTGGCCTTGACTGCACACAGGTTTTATACCATATGTACTAAATTATCTGTGTAGCATAAGAATATCTGTATAAATACAGAAATATGCCAAATATCCCAGCTATTGATACATCGTAGAACACATAGATCTTTGAGTGCCTATATGATGCTACAGTTGCTTCTGCACCCAGAAGGGAAGGAGATTGTACCTATTAACTCAGTCTCTCTGGACAAATTAATATAAAACCCATGTTTACACAAATGATTGCAGCGAGAGACTAGAGGAATACATTCTGGTTTGTTTATCAAAGTGAGAAAACACCATTTAATCACCATCTAGGATAATTATTCAGGGAGGTGATGTTGGGTGCTGAATGGATCTTTAATTTAGCAATACAAGATCAGCCAGCTGGTGGTTGAAGGAAGACAATTGAAAGGCAATTAACTATTATGCAGCTTAATGGTGCACGTGGTGGAGTCTCCATCACTTGCCGTACTTATCTCAGGATGGGATGTGTTTCTGACAGAGCTGCTCTAGTCCAGGCCAAACATGAGTTATCGAGCAGAGAATGGGCATTATTTGTGCAATTCTTCAGCTGATTTATTGCAGGAGATGAAAAACCTTATGATAACATTTCCTGTTGCTCCTCATCTATGATCCTTTGAGATCAGACTAGCAAAGTTCATGAGAGGGGTTAAAACCAGCTTACCAACCTCACAATGTATCAGTAGAAGCAGTAAATAACTTCATGGTGAGGTAGAGCACACTACAGCAGTGAGACAATGCCAGCCCATCTATCTGATCCCTGTGGCACCCTATGCAGGAGACCAAGAATTTCTGTCTAGAAATTTAGCCTAAGGAAAGGTCAAGCCGCATCGACCCACCCCAGTCTATCTTCGGGTGGATGCATTTTAGTACCTCTGCCTTGAGAAGATGGAGTAACGTGGTGCTCAAACCACGATCAAAGTCATTGCAGTCTGCCCACGCTTGGGGAAAGGTGAGAGCTATGCTAAAGCTAGTTATTATAATTAGACCAAGACCTATCTACATAATGCTGACAAAACACATGAGAGTAACCAGCCAGAGGAAGACAAACAACAAATACTTGCAGTGCTGCCCTTGTGAGAAGGACAGGCGGAAGGTCGGTGTAAGAGAGCAAAGTATCTGTGGAAGTGTCTTTGCAAGGCAGTCTCTAAGATTAGGAACCAAAGCAGAGCTGCCAAGCCAAATCACAGCCAAACTATCTTTATTCCCCATTAAGGCCTTGCACCAACCTACAGAGCACAGCCAGGGGGCCATCAGTCTGAGAGCTGAAGAGCAGAAATTGTCCAGAAGGGCAATGCAGGCAATAGTGGAGGAATAGTCCACACTGCACGTCTAGGTATTGTCAGACCAGCAGTTCCCAAGCTGTGGTCAGCAGATTGGTGACTGATATGTATGAAGGGCGATATATCCACTGACAGGTTGATGGGTAGGTTGCTGATACAGGTGAAATAGTGCAGTGGTGGTGGCTACAGAGCAGCACGTTCAGTGACAGCAGGTGACCTGCCCACTCCGGGCCGTGTTAACACCTGAGTTCATGCAAGGGGTACAGTTGTCTCTCCCTTGTAATGGGATACCTTGTTCTTTAGCACCTCTGTTTGGCCCAACACTTGCACACTGTAAATTAATGTAACCTTCAAGGTCACATTTATCCTGCCAAGCAAATAACACTGGTGGGTTTGCTTCTTACCTGAAAGAGGTTTTCCTTGAATGGGCTCTTCTTCTTCTTTTTCACCAATCTCCTCCACACCATTACAGATCGTGGTTTTGTTCTCCTCATAGCTCCTGAATGATCGCAAAAGTCTTTTTCCTTTCCAAGTGCCAGTATCTTCCTTCCCACTCTCTTTGTTCGGACTTTGTTTTGGTTTCCGGATGCTTAACCTTCTAATACTTCTTTCAAAGAACCCACTGTCCCTCCTGTGTGAAGTCGGGCTGCTCAGTTCAGAAATAACCTCCATCTTTTCCTCCCCAGCACTGCTCGTCGGAGAGGCTGGTTCTGAGGTCACGCTCCTTGGGTCTAACTCCATGTTTCTATTTTTCTTGTCTTTCAACAAGAGGTTTACCAAACAGGCTGATGACAATCACTGAAATGCATAAAACAGCAGAATTAGAGACGTTCTTAACAGGATATTACTCTATCTCCAAAGTCAGTCCTGGTCTGAAAACCTGGCCCATTCCTTTCCTGTGTATAATACAAAGACAGAGAAAGTTGTTGTAGCCTGCAGCTGCTGAAACAATCTCTCTACACACAGATACCAGGTGCTGGCCTGCACTTGGTGCTCTGGAAAGCTCCACTTAACTCCCTAAATCAGGAAAGTGACAGCTATTTCTCCAGCACCAAGGAATCATTAACCATCAGAGATGCTGAAATCAGTGCAAAAATACCATTTCACTTTTGGTAACAAGGTATAGTTTTACTTTCTGTCCTTCTAGGTGGATTTCCAGCCATGCAGGAAAATGATGATCCTCCCTTACTCTCACTGGGGTGTTGTCACTTTCTGATGTGAATTTGGCAACTTTGGGTTATGTTGCTACTTCTGCCCTGCTGCTGCTGGAAGTGGCCCAGGGGTGAGTGGTCCCCAGCAAGTGTCCAAGCTCTGCTCTAGCCCTTTCCATTAAAACCACAGCTATCTCTGCACTCTGAAACATCGTGGTTGGTTACAGTGCAGAAGGCTGTGCAATGCAGAAAGGGTTCACATCACTCATCCTGCCTCAGAGCGCTGCACCCCAGCATGCCAAAAATGGACATCTCCAAGGTCAAACAAACCTCTGCATGAGCTGCTGGGGATGCTGCAGGAGATTTCAGATTTCAGCAGGAGTGCTCCTGTCAGTGCTACTGGGCTGCAATCACATCCTCTGCACTTGCTCAGCTCCTGCCCTGCTGCAGACAAACTCCCCTCTGCCCACCCTGAGGGCTGGTCCAGATGCTTGTGAAGGGGGAAGAGAGAGAGGTTTTGCCTTCCTTCCCTTGCAAAGGGCTCTCATCAGGTCACCAGTTAACACAGCTGGCTCATGGAAACACTGTACATTGCAGAGAGCAGGATGAAAAATGCCATGTTTTCCTGGCACAGGCTCAGAGCAGCTCAGTGAACAGTTTAAATCATTAGAAACAGCTATTGCTTGAGGTGACCCAGGAACTGCCTGTCTCAGGTCTGTCCAGCTCTCTGAAATACAGACTGAAATACAACTGTAGTGAATGGGCAGGTGGGGACTCTGGAAATAGATTCACCCTCCCTCGATCAGAGTTTCAGTCCCTTGTGCACAGTTATTTCACAAGCTGTAAACTGCAGGGGCTGCGCCTTCCCATGGGTTTGCTGAGCTGCTCTCACAGAGGGGATCATGTCCCTGCGTCACATGCTCTCACAGGAATATCTAGCCATTCCCTGCCTCGCTCAGGATCTCACCCCATCACAGCCCATACAGAAGGTGGGATGGGGAGAAGGGCACCCCATTGTCCAGGGATTTCAGTAGGAAGAAGGCTGATACCCTAGCTCAAACTCTGCATGGGGGCTCTGTGGACAGAGAGGGGAGTAGCAGTGATCAGAGGGGTGAGCTGAGCAGTAAAGGGAAGAAGGAACAGAAAATGTGATCCCACAGACAAGAAAAGTGATGGAACATATACCCCAGTACTGACCAAACTGATCCCCTCCGCGGTGAGCTGGGATGGCACAGGAATGATCCACAGGAAAGAAACTGAGAGCGGCTCCGTGCCACAGGAAATCCAGGGGAGATGCAGTGGCAGGTGGGCAGATCTGCAGGACAGAGGTAAGGTCAGCTCACCCACATCAGCTGACTGAGACACCATTCCTCATGCACGCGCTGGTTGAGGGGCTCCTCAGAGAGTGGCGCCGCTCTCCATCCTCCTTTTCCGTCTGAAAGGGGCTGTGAAAAGTGGACAAAAAGGCCTGTCCGCACCTGCCCAACACCTCTTGCACCTTCACCTCTTTGCTTGCCAGGAGAGACTGTGGCACTGTTTCGCTTTCCCTATGCCTGAGCATTTAAAAGAAGGAAAGAGTTTTGGAAAAAAATGTTGAACAACCTCCATTCAAGGTTAATTATTACCCTGTAGATGGAGGTTTGAACCAGCCATTCAAGTGGGGTGAGCTGCAGCACTGAGCTGGCCTGGGACAATGGTGAGCAGAAGGATTTCAGCATGTGGTCCTGCCCCAGTGGAGTGAAGCCCCACAGTGCCTGGGTGTGGGGGTTCAAAAGCAGTCCCAGAGCTGCTGTGTGAGAGGGGCTTCATTTCACCACCTTCTGCTCCATTTCTGCAGGTCATGAGTGGCTCAGTCTCAGTAATGATTGCCAGGCATGGGTGAGGGACAGGGGGCACCGTGTCCCCTGGTTAAATATTTATATATTCACATCCTCACTTTGCTCTGGGGGCACTTAATTCCATGGAGTTGCTGGCCCTGGATCCCTCCATTTCCGGAGCATTTGTGAACCTTGAAAGGAACTCAAAGCAAAGGAGCACAAAAGAAAAAATGGGGTCTTGAAGGCTTAAACAACATTAAACACATTCACTTGGTTTTTCACTGACTGGTGTAAAGTGATTTAACCCTGGGGAACCTGCAGTGCTCAGACAGAGGCAAGTCAGGCTGCCAGGCTGGACACACCAGGTAGTTCCAAGGTCCTGGTGGAAAGCAAGAAGGATAAATCAAGAGTTGTCACCACGCCACAGGCAGTGTGCACTTCTTTGCTTTAGGAGCCTGGCAGCATGTCACCAGTCACTGTGATAGGGGAGATAAAGGGGTTAGCGAGGGATTGGTGCATTAAAGTCCAGTGGCACTTGGACTTTGTGATGAGCAAAGGAAAACAGAGAGAGAGAAGAGAGTTGAACAGAGTCTCCTCTGGGAGAGACTGTATGTCCAGGAGATGGAAAGTGTGTGGGATCGTAATAATTGTGATGAACTAAACAGAGAAGAGTGGCAGCACAGACTGGTGTGAAAATGCCTGGATGGCAAGATGGGACTGGGCAGAGCATCTTTTGTGGCTGCTCCATGGTGCAGGGGGAGTCTTGACTGAAGCTTCCCCCAGCTTGGCAGCCCGGTGCTGAGCTTTCTGTCCTTGGGCTCTTCAAAGTCATGGTTAAGCCAGAGACTGCCCTGCTGTACTGGGGAAAACCGTAACTGATAACTCTTCTGTCATCTGGCAGGTTGACAACATGGACAAAGGAAGGAGCTATTTACTCAGGCACATGCTGAGGTGTGGAAAGTCCCTTTGGACCCAAGTAATTTTCTCCTCCCTTAAACATTTACAGAGTGTTGGTTTGTACAGACAAGCTCACTATGACTGGGGTGTAGCCAGAGCAGGCAGCAGGTCTAACATGGGTGGAATCTGATCTGGACCTCTCTGGAAGTTGTCAGCTACCCCAGAACACAGCTAGTACCAGGGCCTGCTGGAATGCTAATCAAGACAACTCGGGGGGAGCTCTGAATTGTAATCCAGCAGGAGGTTTCAAAGAGGAACAAACACACTGATTGTGCTGAAGTTCAATGACATGGTGAAGCTGGGGTGTGTTGTAACACATCTATCTCTTCCTATTCTCCATAGCCTCTGGATAAAACACCTTCAAGAAGTCCTGGTCCTTCTCTCATCATTATTAGAAGCCCTGCAGCATCAGATGTGTGTTTTCTCTCCAGAGCTGGTGAGTGTTCAGAGAACTTTACACTGAAAAGGACATGGTCCTTAGTGTCATAGGCACCACATGGACACCATCCTGTCTCCAGCCAGCCATGGGGCACCCAAGCCAGCTCCCCCAGGCATCACAGGCCCACGATGCTCCTCTATCCCTCCAAGCCACCAGGAAGGCCCATCCCTCTGGTGCTAGACTCACAACTACGCTCTTAATTGGAAGTGGATGAGTGACCTGGAGAGAAAAGCCAACCCTTTTGAGGAGGTGGCCTCCCACAGTTTTTCCCCAGGGATGGTTTGGATTGTCACCTGCTCAGCCTGTGCCAATCCACCCACTGGCGCAGTGACAGCCACACAGCTGCACCGTATGGTTGTTCACGTGGTGTTCCATGGAGTTGTTCAGCCCTGCCGTCAACGGGAACACATGTTCCTGAAAAGATCTGACTGTGTGGGAGAAGCATTATGAAATTACCTTCTGCCCAGCAGTACCAGCCTAATTGCCTTTTGGGTCTCGGGGCACGGTGGTGAGAACAGGTTAATCACCATCTGGGAAGTTGAATACTGATGCACTTACTCCGAGCTAGTAACAGGCTGGTGGACCAGGCTTAGCCTGAACCCTCCCACCAGAACAACTCAACAAGGAAGAAGGAAACAGAAAAGAAGGCAAAACCAGGTAGAGGAATCACAAGTAAGAGATAACCTAGCAAATCCTGGTGAAAACACCAGTGCCTCAGAACTGAGTTCAAGGATCTTGTGGCAAGTGGCTGCTGCAGTCACTCTGAGATGTAAAGCCAACTACTCCTCACCTGGTTTCCCCCACCTTCCCCTTCTAGGGGACCTAAGAAAGCCACAGAGGATCTTTTTACAAGGGCACATAGTGATAGGTTGTAGGGGGAATGGCTTTAAACAGAGAGAGTAGGTTTAGGTTAGATATTAGGGAGAAGTTCTTTTCCTTGGGGCACTGGAACAGGTTGTCCAGAGAAGCTTTGGGTGCCCTATCCTTGGAAGTGTTCAAGGCCAGGTTGGATGGGGCTTTGAGCAACCTGATCTAGTGGAAAGGGTCCCTGTCCCTGGCAGGGAGGTCGGAACTAGATGGTCTTTAATGTCCCTTCCAACCCAAAACATTCTATGACTCTATGATTCTTCCAGCATAGCTTGTATTAGAACTCAGGGGTGTAGATGGGGTGAAATTTTAACAACAATGCAACTGATGCTTCCCAAAGCAGTTTTCCCATTGGCATTTATTAGAAGAGAAAGGTGTGTTTGATCGGTGTCAGCAGTCTGGTCATCTCACTGCAACCTGCTCGGCTGAAAGCAGGGACTGACTGAAGCTGCAGGAATCTCCCACATGTTGGTGTTTCCCATGAAAGCAGCATTAATATAATTCTTTTTACCCTTGATGAGCTTTGAGTTTTGCAGTGGTGAAGTTCTCCCATGTACAAGCACACTTCTCCACACAGCTTCTGCAAAGAGTTTTGTCAAGTTGTGGGTGCATTAAAAATGACTATAAATGGGGCTGCAGAGAGGTGTCGTGGATGGGGATACAGAAAATGTCACAGTCATGTGGAGGGTCAGATCAGCTTTTCAGAGATCTAGAAAATAAGGACTATGAAGAGGAATTGAACATGTTTTGGCTGTTTAAGTGAAGAGAGGCTGCACAACAGGCGTCAGCTATGGAAAGGACTGATGAAAAAAGGATGAGAATAACATGCCCTCCCTCTGCAATGGGGGAGAGGATAGTGATTCTCTGCCTGTTGAAGCTGGACTATCTGAGATCTTCAGGATAGATTTGGACAAGTGTCTGTGAGCAGCAGTTTAGGTGCAGCATTCTTGTCCTGTTTGCCTTGTGCATGGGGAGTTACCCCTCCAACTTCGAAGAGAATACATGAGTTCCCCTTCTCCCTCCTTCTTTCCTTCCCTCCCTCCCTCTGGGGCTCAGGAGTGTCTTCCCAGCAGGTATTTGTACTCGCAGATGTCCCCAAGCCCTGTGTTTGCACACCTTTTCCTTGCTTTGGCTTAATTTGTGCATAATGGACACAAATTACAGAGGACACTGTTGGGAACACATTGCTGTGCTCGCTGCCTCAGTTTCCCCATCTGTGAAATGCATGGATTCAGTTTACCCTCTTTGGGTAATGAGGAGGTGTGTTGCTTGATCTCTTGCTATGAGAATATTTTAAAGGGTTTTTGATTTCCTCAGAAAAGGTGTGAAGGGTGTGCAGAGCCCAGATCTGCAAGGGTGTTGCTAACAGCTCCCTAATGCCCCAAACCCACTAATCTCTGTGGGACTTTCAGACAGCTGCTTTGCCTCCTGACCCTTCTGAATATTTGGTTTGGGGTTTATTTGCTCCCTCTTCCCTTCTCTGTGCTTATTACTCATATTTATTATCTTCCTTCTTATTTCTTGTCCTGCGATAACACCCTCAGAACACAGTGAAAGGCTCCAGAGGTGCAGTGCTCCTTGGCAGGGGTGAGGGGCAGGGAGAGTGGTATTGGAGGCCCCACAATTCACTCCGCAGCCCCAAGGTTTTCATCAGCTCCAAGGGCCAGGAGAAAAACACATTGCTGAGGCTCCAGGGGAATACTGCTCTGATGCACATCCTGAAGGACACACTGGATCCCCTCTCACAGCCTCGGCAACCCAATGGCACAGGCTTGGTGGGGTATGCTGTGACCCACTCCCCTTCTGCAGGTTTCATTTGCTCAGTAGTGGGGCTGAAATCTCAACCCGTGTGGGTGGAGGAGACCCCAGAGCTGCAGTGATTTATTGCAGCAGGGAGGCTGGCTTGGTATTCTTAACAGCGTTGCCGGTGATGGATGAGGCAAAGGCATGTTGGGGGCTGCACGTGCCTGTGCAGCCAATGCCTTCTGGGAGGTGGTTTGCAGAGAAATGAGATATATTGCTTCACCTGCAACATTTTTCTTTCTGCTTTTAGGTTGTGGGAGCGTTGAGCCTTAAGCTGAAAAGTACATTTGCAGACAAGAAGCAGGTTGTGGTTTGGAAACTGGCTTTTGCAGAAGGGATGCTGGCCTCAAGGTTGAGTGGGAGAATTTGGAAGATGCATTTCTGCAAAGCACAGGAGTGTTACCTGGAAGCAAAATATGCTCCAGACCCAGGATGGTATCCTACACTTTGTAGCCATGGAAAGATACCACTGGAACGGGTATATATATTACAATAGGAAAGAAAACCATGGGTGCTCATTTTGTTGCAAAAAGGTGGCCAGGATAAATTTCCATGAGAGCTGCCACTGCTGCAGAAGCCCACCCTAGGTGCTTTGGAAGGATAAGCATCAAAGTTTTCCTTCCTTTCCTCCCAGAAAAGGTCTGAGAAAGGCCTGTTCGAGCAGGATCTCTCACATCTGTTTTCTTCTTTTGAAGTG